GATTGATAATCCCTGGGACATGGAATAAACCAGGTAGGCAGGGACTTACTTGTGCTTACTCACTAATCTGTAGTGAGTGATTTCACGTGGGATGTCTAAAAGCCATGTGAAATTATGCACTATTGGTCAATGAGCAAGCACAATAAGCCTGTGCTTACCTAGCTGACGGGGTACCCTGTCCCAGATGGTATACATAGATCTTACATATGGTTACTTAAATTCAATTTCAGGAATGATGAGGGTAACGAATGTACAAATGTGTTTTATACAATTGATGTATGTATGGATTGTGATAAGAGTTGTATGAGCCCCCAATAAAATGGTTAAATAAATAAATTCTACCGTAATTGCAAAAAAAAAAAAATTCAATTTCAAGTGAGATTTAAGGGATTCCTGTTCCTCTACAGCAGTGGTTCTCAACCTTCCTAACTTTAATACAGTTCCTCATGTTGTGGTGACACCCCCAACCATAAAATTATTTTCGTTGCTACTTCATCATTGTCATTTTGCTACTGTTGTAAATTGGGCGATCCCTGTGAAAGGGTCGTTTGACCCACACCTTGAGAACTGCCGCTCTATGGTCTTTGCTTCTATGCCCAATGGAAGACTGACTTGGCCATGAAGACTACCCCCTACCCCTCCTCAACTCACCTTACCAATCCCTACCATCCAGTTGATTATGACTCATAGCAACCCTGTTATAACAGAGTCTAACTGACTGAGTTCTTAACGGGAGTTAGAAAGTCTCATCTCTCTCCCGAGGAGCTGCTGGTGGGTTTGAACTGCTGACCTTGTGCTTAGCAGCCCACTACGTGACCAGGGCTCCTCACCTGACCAGAACCACCACCCTGACCTGCCATCTTGTTAGCTAACTTCTCTCCGGTAAAGCCTTGTGTTCTGCAGGAAACTGGAAGCCCCTGAAGGGCAAGAACAAGGCTTTCTACTCTGTGTACTACCCCAGCTGCTCCTAATTCTGGAGGCTCTGCTCATGTGGATTACTGATAACATCACACGGAATTTACTGTTCATGCTGTCAGGAGAGATTAGTCCCTGCAGAAGGACGTCATGCTTGGTTGCATAGTAAGCACTCAATTCTTTAGCACGGCCTTTTTTTCTTTTCTTTTTTTCAAATTTTCATAGTTGATTCCTTACTGCTTTTCAGCAAGCCCTCTGACATAAAGCGCCTCCCAAACAGACATCACCTCCAGGTCTGTCCGGTTTCGGGTGATTCCTTCCCTCTTCGGGACACAGTCCCCCCAGGGATGCTAAATCCTCCACCAAGACCTTTAGAGAACTCATGTTTTAAGATCAAGTCCGAGAACGAGAACGAGGCCCACAGCTTGCCAGTGGCGCGACCTTGAATAATTGCTGAGATTCAATCTCTTCTCCGGATTATTTAGGATTACCATCAAATGATCAGCATGGTACCAGGCACAGAGGACAACAGAAATACTGCCATCTGCTAATCGCCTGAGTTTCAGCTTTGTGCCACATTAAACAAAGGAAAACAAAAAAGTAGCAATGTCTAGCCATTTCCATCACAAAGGTCCTCCTTCCTTCTGTGCCCCATGGTTTGTGCCAAGCGCACATCCTAAGAGGGGCGACTGCACAAGACCTTCTGGCCTGACCGTGGCCCCTGCTGCTGCCTTCATCCTGGAAAGCAGTTTGCAAATCTGCTGCCAATTTCTGAGGCAGTGCGTCAGAAATGATCAAGAGCAAATGCACGCCCTGCCTTGGCAGACTTCTCTGGTCAACCACTTCACCACTGAGCCTCAGTTTCTTTATTTGTAAGATTGGGATCGAAGCACTTGCTTGGGGGACGGGGGTCGGGGGAGATGATGCGTGTAGAATATTTACCACTGCATCTAAGTGCTCGCTTATAAATAAGCGCAGATAACGTTCCAGATATTTCCAGCACATTATTTGTTTTGCGGGAGCCAATTAACTCCCTACCAGTTTCACAGCGTGGTGTAATTTGCCAGTGCCACATCAAACGCACAGATGCGCTTCACCTCTTGCGAGGGGAACTCTATCCATTTGCTGACTTGTGCATGTTCCATTTGGCTAGCATTTCCTGGATGGGGTGTCAAAAGATGTTGCTTCTGACTTAGACTCTTTCATCGATTTACTATTCATGCCCGGGTAATCCTCTTCCCTGTTTACCGTGTGTGGCTGAAAATTATAGGAGATTCCTAATTTTCCTTCCATGGTTAAATGTTTCTGTCCTAAATAAGTAATGGAAAAATCAAATACCAGCCAGTTACATAACACTTTTGAATTTAAGAAATGCATAATTTCATCTTCAAAGGAACACTGTAGAATATGGCGGGGGAGATGATGTTCTCCAAAATCATTTGACAAGAGCAAAATCATAGATTCCCTGGTTAATTTGGCCTGCCATCCCATTTTCAGAAAGAAAAAAATTACCCAGCACCCCCCTTGGCAATTCAAAACTTTTATACTGTGTGTCAACCATAATCCAGGTTAATAGGTAGCTTGCTTTTAGAGCTGTGCCCCTCCCCTGAATCGTTCCAGGGTCCTCCCCCAGAGGCACCCACTTTAGGGGACTCTGATCCAGATCTATCTCCAATAGAGCCAGAACTCATCTGGATTTTCCAATCCCTAAACCAGATTTTCTTTCTGCTTATTACTTAAAAGCAAATATATATACCGTATATACTCATGTATAAGCTGAGTTTTTCAGCACATTTTTAAATGCAGTTTTTGTGGTAAAATTAGGTGCCTCGGCTTATATTGGGGTTGGCTTATACTTGAGTATATACGGTGTTTTATAATTGTTTTAAAAGGCTCTGCTTGTGAGTGCTGTGGGCTAAATATTGGGGGTTCGAGCTTACCAGAGGTGCCTCAGAAGAAAGGCCTGGCATGCCTCTGAGAGGTCACCCCAAACCAGACCAAACTCACCACCATGGAGTCAATGCCAACACATAGCGCCCCCATTGGAAAGGGCAGCCTTGGCATGGCAGGTTTCAGAGACTGTAACTCTTCACCGGACCACAAAGCCTTGTCTGTCTCCCTCAGAGCCGCTGGTGGTTTCACACTGCTGACCTCGAGGTGAGCCCCACAGACGTGTAACCACTATGCCACCAGGGCTCCTGAAAGGTCCCACACAGCCTGGAAAACCCTTTGGAGTTAAGTCTGCTTAACTCTGATGGGTGAGGTTAGCCTTCTCCCATTGGCGGATTACCTTTCAGCTCCTGGAGGAGTATCTCGGACGGGTATGGGCCACACTTTTTTCCTAAGCCATGAGTCGTGCACTGGAGCCCTGGTGGCCTAGTGGTTATGTGTTGAGTTGCTAGCCACAAGGTCAGTAGTTCGAAAACACCAGCCGCTCTGTGGGAGGTAGATGAGTTTTTCTCCTCCTATGAAGAATGACAACCTTGGAAACCCACAGGGGCAGTTCTACCCTGTCCTATGGGTTCTCTATGAGTTGGCATTGACACGATGGCAGTGAGTTTGGGGTTTTCTTTGGGGGGGTGGGGGGTAATCAAACACTGGTTTATACTTCAGATGTGTTCAGAAGTGTTTCACTTGCTCCATGTGATGTGTAAAATGTGGGCACTTCCACAATATAGAATCCAGACATGACGGATGGAAAACGAATCAGAGGTCTGCCAACAATACATGTCGGGTTGATAACACAAGGTCAGCAGTTTGAAACCACCTGTGGCTTCTTGGGGGTAGGAATGAGTCTTTCTCCTCCTGTGAAGATTTAGTCTCAGAAACCCACTGGGCTAATTCTCCTCTGTCCTGGGGTCACTATGAGTCAGCATCCACTCGATGGCAGTGGTCTCCAGAGACTGAGTAGTTTCACAAGTCATCTGCTGTGGTGCCAGGAAGGAATGTTCGGGCGGGCGGCAGGAGCTGATGATGGGAAGGGTACGTGCACCAGGAAGGGCACCATGAGGAAAACATCTCAGAGGAAGCCAGAAGGGATGAAGCACAACCTTCGGATGCAGCAGAGAAGTCAAAGCAGCTGGGAAATGATGGTTGTGGGGGTCAGTCAGGTTCATGGCCAAATCATGCACTCAGAGAGCATGGGCACCCTTGAACTCAGCGCCATTTCCAGGGGCGCACTCTTGTCAGGCTGAGTTTGAGGGTTTCTGAAGGATTCACTGATGGCATCCGTACTTTGATCACATAAATACTGAATTATCAAAGAAGTTAAACCAGTCTTTTTTGAGCAAGGAACATAACAAGTAGAGCAGCTCTGGTGGGGCAGTGGGATACATGTTGGGCTTCGAACCAGTCAGCAGTTCCAGCGCACTAGCCACTCGTTGGGAGAAAGACGAGTAAATCCCATCAAGATTCACTGCCTTGGAAATCCACCCTCCATCGAGCGTTGCTGTGAGCTGGAATCAACTGCATGGCAGCGAGTTTGGTTTGGGGTTTTTTGTTTGTGTTTTTTTAGAAGAAGTGGGAATTTTTTCAAACACCTCAGTGCATACTTCACTAAACTTAAGAATGTAAAACTGACAAAAAACAAGGACACTTCAGAGGTTCAAAGACTATCTGTAGTGTCAATACTTGCTAGATAAAAGGGCAGCCATGTGGATGTATGTCGACGACATCTCCCGTTCAGAATGCTCAACTGCTCCGTGAAGTGTAAAGGGGTGGGGGCAGTCATAGCAACCCTGGGGGTGCACTAGTAGTTACGTGTTGGTAACCACAAGGTCAGTAGTTCGAAACCCCCCCATTGCTCCTCAGGAGAAAGACATGATTGCCTAGTCCCATGCTTAGACTGTGAGTCTCAGAAACTCACAGGGGTAGACCGACCCTGTTGTGTAGGGTCCGCTGAGTCAGAATCAACTCAGGGGAGTGAGTTTCCATCAGGAGGAGAAGCCTGCAGCGCTGGGGGTGAACTTCTCCACTTTCTTGTAAGCATTTGAATGAAGTTTAATGTAAAGTCAAAGGAGAACGACTGCTTTTCTAATGAATCGTGTGGTGGGCACAGGTTAGCAACAAATGCGAGATGTCACGAGTCTTTTCATTTGTTGGTTTATTAAAATAAAACTACAGTTCTGTGGTTCGCACAATACATACAACAGGCACAAAAATCAGCCGACATTTCCAAAGAGGTTTCGCTCACAAAATCCCACAGCGTTATTTTACAGTACTGTACAGTCACCTTTTACAACCTCGCATTTCTCTGTACAGTGGGCAGGCAGCTTGAACCCTTTTCCATTGAGGCATTTCAGAGCTGTGGTTGCTTAGAGAGATCAAAGTGTTCTTTCAAATACAATCATTAGTTCATATTAAACAGCCAGACGGCAAGTCTCCAGTTCCTCAGCAGTGTTTTAAAAGACTGACAGAATTCCCAAAGAACCCCAGATTACATCTTAGAAGCCTCAGTGATGGAGAACTTTCATTTCTAAACACTAGGACTGTCTGTGGATCAAACTCTGCCATCAGCTATGTGCGGGCTTCGCCTGTCTCTGAACTCAAACCCTCATTCTTTGCTGTAGCTAATCCTTGGGGTGCTTCTGCTCCCTGCAGTGAAACCCCAGGAACCTGGCTGGCCAATCTTCCCATCACCGGGAAGGGCTCTGGCCACCTGTGTCACCACACTTCCGTGCTTTCTGGGTCCCAGGAAGAAGCAGGCATCTGCTCAACAGGCCTGCCATTTGATGGCACACGAACTCTGCCTCGGTGCCACCTGTCTGCTATTGCTCAGTGCCCTGGGGTTAACATGGTATTTGCCAACACTCTCCAAGGGGCACCAGCAAGAGGGAGGACAAGTCCTGGGTCCCGGCACAGCCTTGTGAAAGGCCAGCTTCACCAGGCTCCTCACCAGGCACCTGGAACCCTTGATGTGGCCCTCCATCACTGGGAGTTTCCAGGAAGCAGACTCCCTGGGGTCCAACTTACCTAATGGGCAACACTTTCACTACAAAACCCTGTGACCACCCGACAACTGCCGCCACCGCCCACCCCCCAGGGCACTGGTGTCCCCTGGGGCACGATGGGAAAGTATTCTTCCTCCGGGTCTTTGAAAATTGCACAAGCCAAGCTTCTGCTCTTTGCAATCCCCAAGTGCCCATTCTCCACTGGCCCCGTGGCTTTGGGGGACTGAATGGCTCCTCAAAGGCAGGCTCGGGGGCTTTGTGGGGACCGTTCGACACTCCTGCCCCAACCGTGTCTCCACCTTGGCTTCTCCTTACCTCTGAAGAGAGCCAGACTTCCGCCCCCTCTCCCGAATGACTTGGGATATTCTCATTAAAACAAACAAACAAACAAAACCCACCAGAATGTCGTTTCATATTGCTTATTAGTTCTGTTATTTTGTTTCCCTTCCTTTTCTACTGGAATCGCAGTTCCTTTCCCTGGAAGGCATGCATCTCCGTTTGCCAGAAATGGAAGACAGTAAACTATCGTAAGTTGTTGACAAGCACCTAGTTTGGTTACTCTTACAGAAAAGCCATCGCTTTGGGAGGAAACGATCTGTTAGCAAAGAGGAGCTCCAGGAGCCAACCCAGGTGGCAACTGGGCCACCTCGGGGTGTGACGCTCAGTCATGCAGCACCGGCGGGCGAGCCGTGCGAGTATTAACACAAGGGTCAGCTGGTCTGGGTGAGCATAACTTTGGTTGAGATTGCTCTTCCTTAAAAAACGGTTTTCAAAGCACCAGTTTGTTAGAAAAAGCGTGCATATTGATGCTCACAGTGACGTAAGAGTGGCGGGAGAGCTAGGGAGCTGGCTGCTGCATCCCCTGAAGCATCCCACGAGAGCGCTGGCAAACCAGCCGCGCCAGAGAAACCGTTGCTCCTCAGCCGGGGCCAGCACAGCAGCTCTGGCAGGAGAGACAGGGCAGTGGGGGCCGCTGGGAGGGGCACCCTGGGGAGGAAATCCCCAAAGGCAGAGCTCCAGCCTAGAGCAGTGGTTTTCCACTCTCTCTGGAAGCCTGGGAACATGGGCTGGTGTGGGGAGAAGACCCAAGCTCCAGTCAAGGCTGCTGCGACACAGTAATGCCCGGGGCGTGACTCGAGGCCCTGTGCGGAGGCAGAGCATATTATTTCAGACAGAGGATTGGAGCCAGGCGGGAGATAATTACAGGGGTAGAGCGTTATTGCTCTGAGGTTCAAGTGCGTCATTTCATTCCACATGCAGTCCCAACCACTAACCCTTCCTCTCCCGAGCACGTGGCTGATTTTCTTAGGTGATACGGTTAGTAGTTAAAACCCAAGCTTAGCAAAGTACAGATTTCATCCTCAGTACGCCTAGATTAAATTCCAAGAAGATATGCAACATTCATCGGGGGAAATTCTGAATTCCACAACGGCATGGAGTTAAGAGACAGCTGTTAAGAGAACATTTTCACATTACATGATCCTGAAGAAATCACCATGACTACCACAATGAAGTAATAATTATGCCCCTTGCTCACAGAAAGGAACCTACCTGTTATGAACACTTCTCTTTTTTCATAATAATTTGCCACTCTGTGGCACTGGATTTAGGTACATAACCTACAAGATTTTTTTAAAGAACCGTGGTTTTTCATCAAAGTTAAAAATCCAGAAATCTGACCGCTTGCCAGCCAGCCGGACCACCATGTGAGGCGCACAGGTTGTGTGCTGCACAACAGGCATGGGCACCAGGGCACCCAGATTGGGGAGGCAGCGTAAGCTATGTACCGAGGCTGGCAACCCCAGGTCGGGCGCCTAAGGCCAGAGCGACTGAGGCTAACAGTCTATCAGCCAAGCTCATCAAGCCAGGACAGTGGCTCTGCAGGTGGGGGATTTCCAGGACACAGCTGGCTCCTGGGAGAGTTAACACTTGAGTTGGGCCAGGGGCTAGCAGGGGACACAGACAGGAAACAGGAGTGCGGGGAGGGGGTCTCTGAATACTTGCTGGTCGTTTAAAACTCAGTGGCACTTTTCTGGGAGAGCAAAGGTTTCCAAGGCCCGCTCTCTGGCCAAAGCTGACCTTGACTCTGGCCAGCCAAATGTACTTCCCACTGAGAGCTGTTGGTTCACCAGGTCTTTCTTTCTGACCTAAACTGATGCTGTCTGCTGTCCTGTAACTCTTCAAAGACACTTGCTAGGCCGAAGGAGAGGGCAGCACAGGGGAAGGGGGGATGGCCCACCCCAGCCCGCACGTGGCTACAGAGCACATTGGGGTGGAAGGTGCTCCTGTGTAAACACAGCAGTAACTATTGGCAAAAGGAAAGCTGGGAAATGCTAAGCTGAGAAAACAAGAGCAAAACCGCAGTGACCAGCTGGCCCGATGGTTTTTCAAAGGAAGCACTAACCATTCATCAGGAGCGGGTCGTAGGAAGTGGCTGGCACAGCACCCGGTCTGATGCGTGAGTTGTCAGTGCCAGCATACTGTGTCCATCACAGTAATTAGTCCTTGAAAGTTGTACTTAAAGTGTAAATCTTTAATAACCCCCCAGATAATTTATGGAGACTTCACCTGGCCATCGACGGATTATGATTTGCACATGGAGGCTCGTGGGGCGGGGGTGGCTGGGGGTGGCGAAGGAGTCGAGTGTCATCTGTAGGCGGCTGTGTCACTGCCGAGCTGGGACACTCACAGAGCCACCGAGGGGAGAAGGCACTTGTCTTCCCGGAGGTCAGGTAGGGCCGGGCGGGGCCTGCCCAGTCGGCACCTTCAACCCTCAAGTAGGAGGCCAGCGCCTTCCTTCGAGGCAAGCATCCTGCGTCCTTGGCTTGCGGAGGTGTCGGGGCCACCTACAGCACCACGAAACTCAGAATGTATTCCAGGAGTTTTTGCCGGTGGGATTGAGGTAGGAAGGTGCTGCTTAGTTCTAACACAGACACGCGCTTCTGTTTGGTTTCTTTGAAAACCTACGGAGAAGGTTGAGATGATTAAGATCTGGCAACGAAATGGTAGATTCCTGCCGCCAACCGAGACAGCAGGGGCGCCGGGTCCCCCAGCTTGAAGTCCATGCCTGTATGGGTGTTGAGTGCGACAGGGCTTTATGAGTGTGGGGATGGGCTGTATTTTGGTGGGGAATAATTCAGGTTAGGGTGCTGCATTTTCAATTGCACGTGAGCATGAAATCACAAGTGTGCCTTCCAAGAGCCGCAAGTCCCTCCGTGAAACTCCGGTCCCAATGGCAGGTCATGACAGGTCAATGACCTCTGAGGTGACCCCTAGTAATACTGGTCCCAGCACAAGAAAACCGCTGAGAACTGCCCGGAGTCACCCACACCTCTGCCAGAGCCACAGCCCACTGCACACGCTGGCTCTTGCTCTAGACCAATGGTTCTCAACCTTCCTCATGCCGCAACCCTTTCATACAGTTCCTCATGTTGTGGTGACCCCCCCAACCATAAAATTATTTTCCTTGCTACTTCATCACTGTCATTTTGCTACTGTGATGAATCGGGCTACCTCTGTGAAAGGGTCGTTCCACTCCCAAAGGGATCGAGACCCACAGGTGGAGAACCGCTGCCCTAGACCAACAGCTTTCAGTTTGGGGATGAATGACTAGGAAGCCAGAGCATTCAGAAACCTTCAAGTGACTCTGGATTCAGTGGGCTTCCCCTGCAATCTCCCTTCCCTCCAACCTCCAGAAAGGCCTTTGAGATTGGCTGGCCGGGCAGACCCTGCTTCCCCTGGAGGCCACCTCATCTCAAAGGTGGCTCAAGCAGTAGACAGACACAGAGTAGATACAAGCTTTGATGCCCAAAGTGTTCGGTACCTACCCCAACATCCTTCAACATCTTCACGGCGTTCTTCACCAGACAGTACGTGGCACTCTCAGCTGCAGAGAGAGAGAGTCTGTCAAGGGTCAGGGAAACGCGGGGATCCCCATGGCCACGGCATGGGAGGCCAGGAAGAGGGTTCGTGCAGGCCGGCAGAGTGGCTCAAACTCTACTTCTGCTGCTGCTTCAAACCTACCATAAGCAGCCTCGGGGCTGCAGTGGGTTAAATTGCTAACCAAAATCTAGGTAGTTTGAATCCATCAACTGCTTCTTGAGAAAAAGATGAGGTAGTCTGTTTGGGTGGAGATTGACAGCAGTTTTACCTGTCTGGTCCTGTGGGGTTGCTAAGGTGCCCTAGTGATGCTTAGGCTTTAGACTACTAACAGAGACCTCAGTGGTTCAAACCTACCAGCCAGTCCTAGGAAGATGAGGCTGACTGCTCCTGTCAAGATCTGCAGTCCGAGAAGCTCTGTATGGGGCCACAGTGGGATTTGACGCCCTGGCAGTGGCTATGGTTTGGTTCTTATAGGTTGCTACTGACTCGGAACAATCATGAGTCTGGTGCAGGGTCAGGCAGAGTTACATTCTCTTGTACTTGGATCAGAATGACTGAGTCGAATCAAACTCATGGCGGTGCATTTGAGTCTTAAACCTATTTTATCATCTATTAAGAATAAAGAGAGGGAGAAAAAGAAGGAATGAGAGAGCAAGAAGGAAGGAGGAGAGAAGGGAACGGCCTGAAACATCCTCCCTGAGAGATCTGCAGAAATCTAATCCCAGACGCGAACATTAACTAGCTAAGTGACACCACGCGAGTCCTCTCCTCTTTATGGTCAGGTGATTGCGACAAACAGCACTGAGTGCTGCCCTGAAATGCTTCCACACTGCTGGAGGGAGTAATCAACTGATACAAGGACTTCAAAGTTCTTGTCCCTGTGAGCTGGCAGTTCCATGCACAGCTATAGCTCCAACACGAGTGAGTGCATACATAGGTTCATGCAGAGACACCGTCCAGCAAATCATAGCAGCACTAGCCACAGTAGCTCCACACCGCCAGGACCCAAAGATCCATGCAGAGAATGAATACATACAATGTGGTGCACAGTTAACCAGTGGAGTGCTGCTGCAGAGCGGCAAGAATGAATATGCTCCACGGACACGCAACAACAGAAGGAGTCCCACAACCAGTGCCTACGTGGAAGTGAAAGGTCCATATGCGTTCAGAACTGAGTCCAGTGTCCCTTAGCTAGTCAATGTGATATATAACTTATATAACACACAAAAAGCAGGCATGAAACATCAGTTATCGGGTTAGAAAGGGGCCCTGGTGGTCCAGAAGTTAAGTGCTCAGCTATAACTGCAAAGTTAGCAGTTCAAATTCACCCAGCCGCCCTGCTGAAAAAAGACCCGGAGAACAAACTACGCCCCTAAAGACCACAGCTCTGAAACGGCTGTGGGGCAGTTCTACTCTGTTCCACGGAGTTGCTATGGGTCAAAAGCGACCCAATGACTCTTCACCACACCACAACCATGCCAGAGGATAGGATGATTCTGTGTCTTTCCGGTTTTCTACAGTGAGCAGGTTTCTGTTATCAAAAGAAGTTATTTTAAAAAACAATGTGATGGTGACTAACGTACCGTACACAGCCACGTTCCTTTCTGTTCTGGTGATCATGTATTTGTGCAACTTCTGCAGGTACTCGGGCTCCGGCACGGGGCCGCTGAAGTTGTGCACAAAGATGGCAGCGGAGCTGTAGGTCTCCAGCAGAGGCCCGAGCAGCCTCTGTAAGAAGGTGATGAACTGCTGGTGCTCCTTGGATTGGCTCACCTGGGGATGTCAGGAGAGGCGATGAAGTCCCTGGGAAGGGATGCTTGAACAAAGCCCTCGGCCCCAAAGTGAGCAGCAGAAGCATCCTTTTACAGTCTGTGAGGCTCAGGGTCCTTGAACAGCGGCCGAGAAGAAACTTCCAGAATGGAATGGCATCACGGTGACCTATTGCAGTCACGGAGGTGGCTGATGCGGAGGCTAGACACGACAGGCTTTGAAGCCTGGTTTCAGCAGTCACTCGAGGGCTCCACACTGCGGACCTGGACCCCTGAGACCATCTCCGTTCTGCCCCAGCCCCCACCCTGGGACCTTCAGCTCACAGTCCAGCACTGTGGGGGAGGGTCTTGTCCACCCACAACACATAGTTCAGTCCAGCCCCAATTCCAAAGCTAACCATCATCACACCCAAAATAGAAAAAAGAGTTCCTAAACACCGTTGGGAACCTCTGCCAGCTCCCCCTGCCGGACATGTGTACACTAGGAGGGCTGCCCCACTACAGAGCGCCATCCACGAAAGGCACCCGGCCTGTGCTCTGTAGGGCTCATTAATACTAATTTCCGAAGATTGCAAATTAGACATCTCACTTTCTGAATCGGGGGAAATCGATTTTTTAAAACTCCATTTCTGCCCTCTGCAATTGGATTTCTGACATGAAAGCCGAGAGTATGAAATTTGGGCAGGTGGATAGAGGCGGGGCAGGGGCTGAGAGCGGTTCAGAGAGCAGCCAGCGGGCGGTGCACATCGCCAGGGCGATGGCAGCAGCATCGCCTCTTCTGTTGTCCCTGGTAACCCCTCCGGCTTTGTTGGTGGTGAAATGGAGACTGCCTGGCTAGGAGTGGGGGCCCATGTGGGTGAGCAGGTATCTAAGAGGGAGGCTCCCAAAGTTTGCAGCAAAGGGAATTTTTCCCGTGAACGTCTCTCAGCCCCATGTGCTCCTGCTTCTGTTCTAAGGATCAGTGACGTCACACTGGTGCCCCCCCTTTCATAAGTGCAGACCCCGGTTTCCGTCCTCTGAGCGGCTCGTTGACCTCCAGCAGCTTAGAAGTCACCGCTGTCCCAGTTTATGAAAACCTGATTTTGCGGCGAGGGAACCCTGCACAGATGCACAGCCCCGCCCCCACCCCACACCACCCCCGCTGAGTACCTTCAGGTAGCAATCTCGCTGCTCTTCCCCGAAATCACTGTCTTCATCTTCCTCGTCACTTCTCCAAGACAAAGGTTCCGGAAGTTTCTTGTCCCACTGCTGCTCAGCGAGACCAGGACTAACGTCTTCCTGGTCATCTTGCTATGCCAAGGAGATGACCGAGGGTAATGGATAGGCCCCTGCCCACAGGCAGCTGCCCTGCCGCGCTCCCCTCCCCTGCACTCCTCAGCCATCCCAGCACCTGCCCAGGTCCCCAGCCTCACTCATTCCAGGAGGCGCAGGGAGGAAGGGATGGGGGGAGGGGAGTTCTAAAGAGGTCTGCGAAACCATTCTGAGTGACACGGTCGTGGTGCGCTTGTGAACACCCACAGGACCCCGGGGTCTGCACCCCGGAGTGAGCTGAACGGAAGCCATGGACTTGACTGAATAGCAATGTATCCGCATGGACCTACGGTCCAGCGAGCTGTCTCTCCCGACGGAGAAAGCTCCGTGCACGTGGGCTGCAAGCAGAGGGAGCTATTACTCTTCCTCCCCGCTCCATCTGACCCTGACTGCCCGTCGGCCAAATGGGAAGTCGGCGAAGGTGGGCAGGCAAAGACCAGGACTCGACAGAAAAGGGAGCAAAGGACACTACCTGCTCCTCTTACCTCCGCCACGATGAGGATGCCGTACTGGATAAACTTGCCGACCGTGTCGTGGCAAACTTGGTAAAATGTCTGGCAGGGCTGAGAAGAGGCATTGGCATGGAAACGTCAGGGATCAAGCCGTTGTTTTGTGGAAGACCAGGGTGTGCAAGGTAGCTGCCAAACGCTCCCATCCACCAAGCACCATGACTCCCTCCTGGCAGAACCCACCTCGAGGTGCCCTCTGTCACTGCGGGACAGAGCACCTGGAGCAGCAGCCCGTCCAGGGTGCCCAAGCTCGTGTCTCTCTGCCACATGGAGCCGGGCACTGCAGGCTGCCCGTCAGGCCCTGGCACTTGTAGGGCCAGACCTCAGCAGGAGCCCCTGTTGGTAATCACCACACCCACAGGCACGGGTGTGGGAACCCAAGCTTGAACGACTCGAAGGAGACCCAGGACAAGGACTCGTCCATCTAAGGCAGTGGTTCTCAACCTTCCTCAGGCCGCCACCCTTTCATTCAGTTCCTCAGGTGGTGGTGACCCCCTCAACCATAACATTATGTCCGTTGCTACTTCATCACTGCATTTTTCTACTGTGATGAATCATCATGTAAATATCTGATAGGCAGGATGTATTTTCATTGTTACACATTGAACATAATTAAAGCATAGTGATTCATCACAAAAATAGTATGTAATTATATATTGTGAAATATTTATTTCTAGTGACAAATAAGTGAAAAATTGTCTTGAAGCATGATGTAGCATGGGTAACAGTCTTCACTCCAGGTATTCGGTATTCGTAGCTGGGTGTATCTGCACGTGGGCAGACCCGCCTGGAGACGGATAGAGGAGCGGTGTATCAGTTCCTAAGAGCATCGGAAATATGTGTTTTCCGATGGTCTCAGGCGACCCCTGTGAAAGGGTCGTTGGACCCCCAAAGGAGTCTCGATCCACAGGTTGAGAACCCCTGATCTAGGGAGTCCTAAATGAGCCCATCCCCCTCTCCACCCTGCTACCTTGTGTCTGTGCAAAACTGATTCCCCAGGCAGGATACAGGTATTCTAAAATGTCCTAACAGCCGTGCATGTAAATCAGAATTCAAATGACATCTGAATTCTGGTGGCTGACCGGAGGAGGGGCTGGGGGCTAGCCCTCTTCTGCCTCCTGTGCATGACTTCCTCGCCGATGAAGGCTTGTGCAGATGGCAACAGAAGTCAGTGTGGAACAGTCGTACAACTCTGCCAGAGTGGATGCCGGCTCACAGCCACCCTATAGGACTCACAGCAGAACTGCCCCTGCCGGCTTCCCACACTCTCACACTGTAGAAAGCCCGCCTCTCTTTTGCGGGGCGGCTGGTAGTCTCCAACGGCTGACCCTAGAAGCCCAACTCAAAACCACTCCGACACTGGGGCTCCCGTAACAGTCATAAAAGGGAAGTTAAAAACAATGTGGGGTTCATATTGGGGTTAAACTTCAGGTGCTGATGGCTGTCAGCTTCCTCGTTTGTAAAATTGGGGGGTGGGGGTAGTAAGGCTCTTACTGACTCATCTTCTGTGGTAGATATATAATCGTTTGTCAATTTGAGGATTAAGAGTGTAGGGGTGGAGTCTAGCTTGTCAATCAGATCAAAAGCCAATGAGGCCTCTGTGTGGGCATGGCCTTCTCCTGAGAATTCTGGGAAATCCAGTACTTCCTCCTTGGAGGTGGGAGACTCTGCTCACACCCTGGGAGACATAGCAGCTGACAAGACACATGGAACCACCCTGATGCAGAGACCCCTGCCAGCACTGAGATGTTTCCAATGACACTGGATCCAAGGACTTTCTACCCACTGGCCTGTGTGTGATCTTCTATATTCGGCATCACTGCGTGTGTTTCGTGAGTCTGAAGAGGACTTTGTAGAATAATATACATTGCTATTGGACATATGAGCTAGTACTGGACTCATGGACTTGATCTGGACTGGGCTGGGATGTTTTCTCAATGTTCAATTGCTCTTGTCTATAAATCTGTTTCTTATACACATATGTGTGTCCATGGATTGGTTTCTCTAGTCTACCCAGACTGACACATCTTCTGAGGTCCTATCTCCCATGGCGAACATGGGAACTCTTTATTAGCCTCCGACCCAGGGCCTTGTGACCACTAACTTATCAGCCGGTGGATCGGGCTGATAACATTGAGTCATCTGTTTGGGGACTCCCCTCGGGTTCCCTTCCGTGAAAGGCGACCTGAGGCAGAGATCCAGACAGCAAACCGGAAGAGGAAGTCCATGGCCCCCACCCAGCGGGGCCACCACTGGCCTGGTGGCCACTGAAGCTGTAAAGCTTCAAAGCCGAGGAAAAGACCACCGAGGGGGCTTGTGCCGTCCAGCAAAGAAGAGGCTGGAAGGACAGCGCGAAGCAGCACAAAGGGGAGCCACTTACGAGCGAGATGGTGCCTTCGTTCGAGAGCAGGTAGCACAGGCTGGTGGCCTTCTGCACCAGCTGCTCCTGGCTGATCAAGCTGGGAGGGGCGCCGGCCGGCCCCCTGGGGGAGCACCGCTTGTTCAGAACCGCGTACAAGCTGCAGGCTGTGGACATAAAAGCAGTAAGGCCCCTCGGTTCTCGCTCTCTGAGAAAAATCTCCAGCGGACGTGGATACCGTGGATTATTCGAACCAAGTTCTATGCATCAAAGATGGTGAGCTTCACGAGCAGGAGGAAATTGAAGCCAAAACACCCTTGATGCTCATTTCTCAGGATTCCATGTGGCTCTACCCGCT